TTAAAAAGTATGAAAATTTTGAATTACATGCACAAAATTACTTTATTGAAAGAAAGTATGATTGAAAATGTAATGAATTTTAAAGATTGATGCTCATATATGGACTATATGTTACAAGATGGCAGTTGAAACATCTCAAACTATAAATTGGTCAAATTTACTCCTAAAGATTGAGGCTCAAATACAACATATTAGTCCTTATTTGACAACCATTATTTGAAAATTCTTTTTTCTTCGTAGTCATTTTTAACAACAAATTCATATAATAAAATATCCTGACTTTTTTCTTTTTAGTTACACATTTTTCTAAACATTATTATTCAAACTATTTTTTTCTCAAATAATGATTGTCGAACAGGGCTAATTTCCCTTGGCCACAATTTGAGCCCATTTTTATTTTTGTGTAAAACATGTGGTTTAAGGAAGATTTTTTTTTTTTTGAATTTAAATGAGAAATTATTTTAACGAAAGAACACCTAATTGAAAATGAGTATAAAAAACTATTTAAAAAAAAAATGTGACTCAAATATTAACTTATAAATAAAACTTATTTGGAGCATCCTTGTGCCAATTTTTTTTTTTTTTTTTGCCTAAAATATATTTTGAAATAGTATTTTGATAGAAATTGGATTGTTGAAAAATAAGGAATAATTTTGAATTTACAGTGTAATATTATTTTATTGAAAAATGTGTAATTGAAAAAAAAAAGAAAAAATTGTATTTTAAAAATAATTGGCAGCCTATAATTAAAAAGGGGTTAATCCATTTGTACATAATGGTTTGTACATAATGGATTACCCCCTCTCACGTAATGCACAGGGTTTGCGTGTATTTAAAATTTTAGATATTGTGGTCCCCATCCCCATTGTAAATTGTAGGTAAAAGATTCGGTAAAAAAATTCGGTACATGTAGTAGTATGATCCATTAAAAATTGGGCACCTAGAAAACAGAGACCAACAAAAAAGACTAATAGATAATCAACGGAAACAAAAAGGGTGGTTGAGAACTGAATTCGACAGCTAATATTATTATATATACTTGTTGGAGCCTCATTTTTTTATTAAAATATAGTTTCAAACAGTGATTTGCTCTCATTTGACCTTATTTCAATTACACATTCTTCAAATCTATTTTTTTTTTTTTTTTATTTATTAAACGAACATTATGTATCATGACAATATTATAAAATACATTTTTTGAACAAAATGGGG